AGCCGTGTCCCCTTCGACCCCGGCTCCTTCCTGCAGGGGCCAGGTGGAGCAGATGGCCAGGGAGCGAGACAAGGCCAGGCAGGACCTGGAGAGAGCGGAGAAAAGGAACCTGGACTTTGTGAAGGAGATGGACGACTACCACGCCGCCCTGGAGCAGCTCGCGGAGCAGAAGATCAAGTAGGTCCCGCGGGGCCCCGGCCCTGCTCTGCGGCTGCTCCCCTGGCCAGAGCGGCGGGGGGCGTGGCCACCACCGGCTGAGGTCCTCCTGTCTGGTCTTGGCCGAGCCAGTGGAAGCCTAGAGGGTGCACTTGGCCGAGGTCCTTGGAGAGAAGAGGGTGTGCTCTCAGGTGCAGTCTTGCCCTCACGCGGGAGTGCGGCTTCTGGCCGTGTGTCTGCTGGCCTCTCTGCTCTGCTCCGTCTGTCGGGGTGGGTCCCACCAGAGCTGCGTCTTCTGTACATGGCTGTGATCAGTGAGACAGGTGGACGCTTTGAGAGAGGCCCAGGGAATGGCCTTGCCTCCTGTCGGCTCTGCAGAAAGGAGCCCAGAGCCCGAAACTGCTGACGGAGGGCCTCGCCCACGCAGAGGGCTGAGCGGGCTCCTGGTGAGTCAGCGGGCTGGTGGCGGACGGACCAAAGGAAAGGCTTTCTGACCTTCTTTTCCAGGGACACAAAACCACTTCACTGGTTCATTAGCCAAAACATTTGAGGAAGTCCACCTCTGCGGTCTCCCAGGCTACAGCTGGGAGGGGGCCTTTCTCACCCTGAGGGGTATGCTCCCCCCAACAGAGCTCGGAGGCTGGTCCCTTTCTGGAAGCTCTGGTCACCAGAGGGTCCCCTTAAGGACAGCTAAGGATGCTGCAGTAACTGTCCTGACTCAGGGTGTCCGTCCTCCTCAGTGCTGGCAAGGGGGTGGCAGGAGCTCGAACCTGGACATTGGGCCCCCAGGCAGGTTCCCCCTGCGACGGGGGCATTTGCTCAGGTGAAGCCTCAGCAGCCTATTGGTGAGGTGTGTGGGTGTCACAGTGTGATGTGACAGGGTCCCAGGCCCTGGAGGGCTTCCCCCTGCCCAGTGTGCCTGCGGGCTCTGAAGCATGGCCTGAGCAGAGGGGCTGCAGCAGAGGTGCTGGGGGGCGCTGTCCGTGGGGTTTAGTGGGCAGAGCCACCGGGCACCCTGGCCGTGCAGCCGGGGTCTTGGCCTCTGGGAAGAGGCTTCTGGCCTGCGAAACTGCTCTCTTGCCGTAGGGATCCTGTTACAGGCCAGGCACTGCCTGACCGAGACCCCAAATAGGCCTTTCCATTCCTGTTTTTCAGCCAAGGACACTGAGGCTTGGAGCAGTGTAGTAACTGCCCACAGTCACTCAGCTGGCAATGCCCCTCCCTCCTCTCTGGAAATGAACCCCCATGTGAGCAGGGCTGGGGGACAGAGAGCTCGTCACTTTTGGGGGTCATCTGGAGTCTGACCCACATCCTAGGTCAGCAGCTCTGCTCCCCCACGACCTGTGACTTCAGGGACCCTCCTGGGGCCAACACCTTCCCATGTGTCACAGGCCTGGGGTGGTGCCTCATGTCCGAGTTCCCAAAGGCCGGAGTCTCCCTTTCCTTCCGGGGGCTGGGAAGGCAGGACGCAGCAGCCAAGACCCTGGTCTGGGCACTAGCCAGACTCCACACTGCCCGTGAGCCACATGGAGACGGGAGTGTGAGAGTTGGGGTCTGGGCACCAAGGGCTGTGAGTGTGGGAGCAAGTGTGCGGGTGCGTGTGGGTGTGAGGTGTGCGTGGGCGTGCACACACACACCTGCACGTGCACTGCCACCAGCTGCCACACCGCCTCACAGTAACTTTCAGGGAAGCTAAAAATTAAGACTCTGCACCAAACTTTAAAAAATGTTCCCAGTCAAACCTGAGGTAACAAGCGCTGTGAGGCGTGCCTGCCCGCCCAGCGCCCGGGCCCACCCTTGGGCAGGTGGTGGGCGGCGTTAACCACAGGGGCGCTGTGGCTGGGAAATACCAGGTTTGTCCTGCTCTGCTGCCCGGCAGGGCCCCCCCCCCCGCCCCGCCCAGGAACCAGGCGCGGCTCTCGCAGCTCCGCTCGCTCGCGGGGGTGCCATCCTCAGTCCCCGGCTGCGCGGAGCGGACTGTGAGGCTGCTCAGGGTTCCCGGGGACGCTGTCAGTGGAGGTCGGGGCAGGGGCTGTGTTGTGGTTCCTGTGGCTGCGCTCAGCCCCGTCCCTGCCGTGGACGGGGCCCCCCCGGGCCCTGGGGTGAGGCCTGGGCAGGCGGGGTGCACGGGCTCCCGGCTTGAGGCGGCCCGACCTGCGCGCCGCCCTTCCTCTGCATCCAGCGTGGCCGCCTCCCCGCGCCCGTGTGCTGCGTGCTTTCAGTCCGAGGAGCTGAGACTAATTTGCTTTGGTCTCGACTGGTCGACCTGCCTCTCCCAGCCGCCCAGTAGAGGCCGGGTCAGAGAACCCAGAAAGGGGCTTGAAGGCTGTATCTCAGTCTCAGAGAACCTGGCCTGGGGACACACGAAGCCTGAGGGCCGGGCAGGCGCTGGGATTTTGCCCTGTGAGCAAAGGGCGTTGTCGGTACATTTCCAGAGACTGTTTTTATGGCTGCGTTAGGCGTTTCTCGTTCGAAGGTAATAGATGATACGTGTTCATTGTAGACAATTTAGAAAACACAAGGAAAAGGAAGAGGAAAAGCAGAGGTCGTCGTTCCTGACGCTGTCTGTGCGCCCCGGCTTCTCTCTGCCGTGCTCGGGGTTATTTACGGAGCGGTGTCGTGTTCGCAGACTTGCTGCCAGCCCCGGAGCACCTCTGTGTGGGTCTGCTGCGTTTTCCTGACCCTTTCCCTTGGCTGGATGTTTGCTGGATCTTTAAAAAATGTATGAAGAGTGGAGTGATGTGATCAAACTTGTATTTTTAAAATTTAAAAAAGATTTAGTATTCTATTTCTTTTTTTCTTTTTCCTTTTTTTGGTGTGAGATAAATAGGTTTCCTTATTTATTTTTTCTTAGAGGAGGTGCTGGGGATGGAATACAGGACCTCGTGCCTGCTAAGCATGTGCTCCACCACTTGAGCTACACCCTCCCCTCCTCAAACTTGTATTTTTAAAACTGGCACCAAGATGTTAGATTAATCACATCCGTCCAGCTGTCTCCCTACGGGACAGCTCCCCCGCCCCGCTGTGTTCTTTCCCTGAAGCTCTGAGGTGAGGTGGACGCAGGACCAGCCGCGTGTTTCTTCCGCAGAGTTGTTGATGCGGACAAGCTCTGCGGAAGTAAGAGTCTCAGTCGTCTTCAGTCTAGACAGACTGGGCTTGAGAAACCCCGTTAAGCAACCATTTTAGTGGTAAAATGAAGAACTGGCACTGTTTTTCCGCTGCTGGACTGTTCTTGCAAAGGATTCCTGCAGAATCCAAGGGAAGCGCCCCCACCTTTTCCTCTGGTTGCTTTGGGATTCACCGTCTACAGGTTTTCTGTTGTCTGTGTCCTTGTGATGGAGGCTTACTTGTGTGTGCGTTTGGTCACCAAACGCTGCCTTTTTTATGTTTTTGATTGTGTGCAGGAGGTGGAAAGGCCGAGGGGAATCAGAGGGCATCTGCTACCCCTGCTCCAGAGGCAGCAGGGATGCACAGGCTCCCCTTGTCTTGCGGGGTCACACCCACCAGCCCTGGTGGGATTTAAGCAGGGCCCCAAGCCCCTGTGGCCGGTGCTGCGACAGGAGACTCGGGGAGGGGAGGGTTGGGGGTGGCCCCTCGGGCCCCGACATGACTGCCGTGTGCCTTCCAGACACCTGGAGCAGGGGTGCAGGGGGAGGCTGAGCCTGCTGCGGTCCGAGCTGGAGGTGGAGCGCGAGCTCTTCTGGGAGCAGGCCCACCGGCAGGGGGCTGCGCTGGAGGAGGACCTGCGGAGGCTGCGGGCCGAGGAAGCTGGCCTCCGCGAGAAGCTGACCCTGGCCCTGAAGGTAGGGGAGGGGTGACGGGCCAGAGGGGGGCCTCCTGCCCGAAAGGAGGAGGCGAGGTTCCGGGTCGAGGACCTAACCCTCCCCAGAGCCTTACGTGGGCATTCCGGGGTTGGGAAGGGACAGCGGCAGGTCTCTCTGTCAACACACACATGCGCGC